CTCCGTGATACCTTACACCGTTCGCTCCAGCCCATACCCAGTTACGATCTGTCCCGTTCTTGTTGCTGAGTTTACTCGTGCGCCATGTGTACCTGATCCTTCCGAGGCGCCTTTGCACAGGTTCACCATAAACGGACCATACTGGGTGAAAGAATGGCACCAAAACGGACCGGATCGTGTACTTTGCACCGTTCCACGCCTCAGGTCTCCTCAGCTCTCAGGCTCTTTCCTGTTGAAGGATACCCAACGCGGAAAAGAGACAAGTCAACGTTCTGTGCCGCAAGTTGAACATCCTCGCCGCACGCCGCGCCAAAAGTCGGCTGTGAGCCTCTTCCGCCACAGCACGGGGGGCAGGTGAAGAGGTGAGGAACAAACCAACAACCGCTTGCTTTACCGTGGGTCTGTTAAGCGGCCATGTCAAATCAGGTCGGTGGTTCGGTCTCGGTCTCGTGGCTCCCTTGTTTTGTCTTGCCAATCGCGATTTCTGCGGCTACAAATCCTGTTGGTTGTTAATTGGACTGTTTGCCCAATTTTCCTCTTGTCAAGTCGTGATTGGATAACCTACCGTCCTTGCAGAAAAGTTATGAAGAAAAAAAAAACCGGTGAGAGAGCCAAAGGCTGGTGAGCTGCTGGGACGAAACTAAAGAACTCGCAGCTTCCAATCTTGGATATTTACAGTCTTCGCCATCTGGCTGAATGGCAGCCAACACCACCACCAACACGTCTCTCCATTGGGTAATCACTTGTCAATCACCGTTGGCCAAGCCTAATCTCTAAGCGCGCAACGCAGCTCAAACCTTGGATCTGGGAATTGGCGCGAGCACCTACCTAGGGAGGTAAGCAGCCTTGCAACACAACGTTGACGGGTGAGATACATAATTCGCCGAAATTGCGGTGCCATTGTTTTTTTAGATTTTATTTTTTTGACAGCTGGGTAGGTGAGATTGATAGCTTGAATCCTTTGGTTGAATCGGTTTATATGGGCGGTAAGCCCGAGATGAGAGCGTTGCATTTGTCAACAACAACTTCTCTTCTGGTTGAAGGTAGGTGTGGGGATTATGCATATGGTTTACCTTATTTGGCTTTGATTACCTACTCCGACCAGAGTTATCTTGTTGTTGTGTTTCACACCTTTACTGGACATGTTGTTGGATTGGGAGCTGCTGGTGATGGTGGCCCCTATGTTAGGTCGAGTGAGAGATCTTCCACTCAGATTGGCGGCGTGTAGGTAGGTAGGTGAAAAAAAAGAAGAAAAAAAGAAAAGCGGATATCACCCTGTCAAGATCGGATAACGGATAGATAGGACCCATCCCATCGACAATGACCTGCGACCTGATCCTCTCCCAGTAAAAAGGTAGACATGGATCGAAGTCTCATCCGTGATCCGTCAGGCTGCCACTCGGAAAGTCAGTTGAGCCTCCCCGAGCGGCGCCCGTTGCTGCTCAGCCTCGTCTACGTCCCAGTTTCTTTTCTTAATCGCTCGAGAAGCCCGAACATTGAGGCGAGCTGTTTCATCTCCTTCGTTCAACTTCCCCAGCAGTCTGTTAGGCTCGCTTCAACCACCTACCTACCTGCTCCACATTGATGGCGAGAGGCGCGGTCGTGATCTTGTGATGGTCCAAACAAGACGACCTGCGGCGCTGTGAGGCGGCGAGAACCAAGGACAGTTGGACATCAGGGGTACGACCAGCCGGTGAGTTGGCTCTTTGATCTTCAAAAATGGGCTGCAATGTGCAATTTCTAGATGAGTAGTGGAAGCCCTCCCTCTTCTCGTTGCCGACCAGTCATAACTGACCTTGACTATTAGCAAAAAACCCCCACGGACTGTTGTCTGTCGACCTGCCCACTCACCTGCATTGTCTCACAAGTGTGAACTGATCCATCATTCGTCAATCAACCTTGACCGATCGGCAGCGAACGTGAGAAATGTGTCTCGCGCCCGAATCCTAGGAAACCCCCAGGTCTTTTCGGTCGGTCTAGACTTTCTCGGGATGTCATCGCGGCATCGGCTTATGGGAGAGAAAGACTGATGGAAAAGAAAAATATCTGTCACGGAGCAAGTTACCATGTGCGCAGCCGCATCAGGTGTTGAATGCGTGTTTCATATCTCTTTCCAGATGTGTGTGTGTGCGTGTGTGTGTTGATATATCGTCGAGTGTGTTACGACAGGTCTGCAACGTTCCGTCTGTGGTTTGACTGCCTTATCTTCCCACCCGGCGAGGCTATCCTTATTTCCCAGTTCCTCAAGTGGTAGTAGTTGTTCGGTGATGGGTCATGTCAAGTTGTTGGGTCCTGCAGAAGACTCCATCTCCCATCACATCTTCAAACGAGTTGGCGATGGAGAATGGGCCGGCGCCGAAAGGCATCGGGCAGCCTTGGGGTGCATTCGTTGTCACAAGTGTGACGGGATATGCGATGATGATCAGGCCAAACCTGCGCCTGTCCGTGTCCCCGACAGGAAAAAACTGGATGAAAAAGAAGCCTCCTGGGGCGAGCAGCCGGAGGTTGAATTCGCGCCCCCCCCCCCCCTCCCGGTACATCTATCGCCGTAATACGGACAGATCCCATCTCGAGGTTGTTTACCCACTTGTACAAGATCAAAGCGGCAGAATCTCTCACACAAGGTTCAAGGTTGTGGTCACACGCCGTACTCCACCACTCTAGGGACACCACGTGTTTCCCAGTCCCTTTAGAGCCGGATCTCGATCTTGTCACGAGGGGGACCAAGGGCCTTCGGGCCAATGGCAACCGAGAGAAATGCCCGGGGGAGCTGCCAACCGAATTTTGCTCCATCCCGTACGGTTGGAGGCATTGTGTTCAGCAGATCCTTAGATCGATAGATTGGGGCCTCGGAGGAGACCAAGATTCCCATCACGGCATGGGGCTGTCGTCAACAAGGTGAGCTCGGCAGCAAGAGCACCTTTGCTGCAGGTGGTTCGGCTGAAGGGTCGTTCATAAAGCTACCTATCCGTTTGTGAACATCGGCCGGAAGGGTGAGATAGAATGGCATGTCTGGAAGGGCGAGAAAAGCAGGATGCAGGGTGCCATGGTGAGCCCAAAGGATGTTCGCCCCCCTCTGAACCATGGTCGACATCGTGCGGTGCTGCGTTCGTACTCATCAGTCGGCGGCAGTCACGTCCAATCTATCTGGCATAACACTCGCTGTTTGGCTGCCAATGTGATAGGCTCGCAGGTGCTGGTGGTGCAGATCGGGACAACTTCTGCCATCGCCCGTCATGAACCCCATGAATCCTTGCCCTGCAACCAGCGAGAGACCCCCGAGTCTCATGGAAATGGGGGTATCATGCCAGTTTGCACACACATGTGCCTTGTCCGTTCGTGTGCTCCTTCAAAACCACTCACGGCAGCAACGTTAGGCGGATAATTGGCTCCGTGTTACTTGGCCGGCCTGACCCTGATGGATCTGTACGCTCCTCTCCAGGTTCTCTTGTGTTCACCGGCCCGATATGGCATCAGCGAGCGGCAGGAACAGCCGCGGGAAAGGCGAGCAATAGCGAGGTTTCTCCTGTTGGGCCCTGGACTGCGACATACCCATAACGCATCAAGCTATTTTTTGATGGAGCCGTCCGTACCAGCGGACAAGCTACGTCATCGCTCATTGCGAGATATCGTCGTGTTGCCGCGGCCAGCGTCGAGGAATAGGCACCGTAGGGGAAAGACGAGATCTGAACCCGTCGACGAGTCGGGCTAGCCCTGGTGTCATGCGGCATCTATGCACGCTGGCATCCTGCCCTGGCTCTTGCAGCTGGAGCAATGGCACTCCATATCGGTATGGAGATTGGGTTTCTTGTCCGAGAACTGCCCTGGAGCCCAACCATCCACGGTTTGCCCTCTTTGCGCATGTTGGATGCCGTCCTGCGTCTGCTCCGCATGTATGTACATGATCGGGGCACCCGACAGAAATGCCAGAAGGGTTCCATCCCCACCCCAGCAACATCACGATACCCGCCCCGGATGCTTTTTCCTGTTCGTCTTCCCACTTGTGTCGTTGGGCGTCCATCATGAAGCTGACCCCTCCCCCCCCCCCCATCTTTCTCTCGGCGTGTCTTGGAATCAGGCGTGGCTGTCGAGAGTGTGAAGCTGAGACTGAGACTCTGTCATTTGTCTGGTATTGCCCGCAAGGCATTCGCATGTCGTTGGAGCACAAGGCGGGGGGTGGCCTCCACTGTTGTGAGTGAGTTGAGGTTTGAGTGAGTTGAGGTTTGAGTGAGTTGAGGTTTGAGTGAGGTTCACACCGTTCAGCAACGGTTTGGTGGCACAGGCGGGTCTTTTTCGCTACAAGCTACACCCTTGTCCCACCGCTGTGCTGGGACGAGGTTCGAAGCTACCCTACACAGTACCTAGGTTTCTCTCCTGAAGGTAACCTAGGGGGGTGATGGACCGTTGTCGGCGTCGGCCCGTGGTGGTGCCCACCCTTGCCGCTACGTACCGCTTAGGCGTTTCCCGTGTTCAAAGGCCATCCCAATATCTTGGTGTTGGGGGATGCAAAAAAAGCAGATTGGCAGGTTGGGTACATGCAGCATGCGGTAAAAGTGAAGGGGTCACAGAGGGTCATCAGAGAATCTCGCTTCGAGAAGACCAAACCCCACGGATAGCCCCGCGCCAGATCTAGCTGCTGCTTCTGCCGTGCAGCCAACCAGGACCGGGGTCTTACACACCAGTTCGGCGACCAGATTCATCCATCACAGCATCCTGGATGCGATGTGGGATGCCACCAACACCAGCACCGCAGACTAAGATTGCAGGGTCGAGCTAGCATAGAACCACTGGGGACTGGCCGGTGACGGGGGCACGGGAATCGATCGACACGGCCATCTCCCATCTGATCTGTCAGTCAGTGTTTTAGCAGCGACAAAGTACCGGCCGTGGCTTCCGAGCCCCGAGGTACCATGTAGGTACTGAGGGGACCTCAAGACGAAGGGTCCTGATATATAAAAAGGACAAGGCTCGTCTCCAGATCCTACGTTGCTTTCCAGACCATGCCACACTCTTGTCCGTCCTTTTCCGAGCTCGTTACGACTACCTTTGACTCTCACACTCTACATCCTCCAACAACTCCAACAACCCCACAGATCAACAGCATCATGGGCGTCACAAGAATAACCCATGTCCACGGGACCGGACCTTCACCTGCCCCTGGACAAACAGTCGTCATCGAGTACACTGGCTGGTTAAAAGACGCCAGCCAACCAGAAAACAAGGGCCAGGAGTGAGTGACAACCTGCTTCTCTCTCTCTAAATGCAACCAACTAACACGATCACCCCTACCTCAGGTTTGACTCCTCCCTCGGTCGAGGAGACTTTTCCACTCAGATCGGGATCGGGAAACTCATTAGAGGTACGCATGTCGAGTAACAGGACCGCTGTGACAAGCTGTCAGCTGACAGTATATCCAGGTTGGGATGAGGCGGTCCTCGACATGAGGGTTGGCGAGAGAGCCACGCTTGATATCACCAGCGACTATGGCTATGGCGAAAAGTATGCGCGACTACTAGTTACCTTACCAACCTATACTGCGATTAGTCACAGACAATGACTAACCAAGCGCTTGTTAACAGAGGATTCCGCGGCCACATCCCACCCAATGCGGATCTGATCTTGTAAGTGCTCTCTTGACACTCACCGACTGGCTTGACTCATCTGAGCCTCTGAACCTCTGCTAACCCTGCTTCTGCCTACCTTAGTGACGTCTATCTAAAAGCCGTTCAGTGATTCAACACGACTTTGTGGTGGAGAGATTCTTTGGTTTTTGACACAAGCAAGAGAGGAGATATTGGAAGTTTGAGTCTTACGTTCTGTTGCCATTAGCAAGCCCTTTTGTATTTCTAGGGTTATACCTATCCTGCCAGATATCTCTTTTCATCGACGATGTGTGTGTCGGAGAGAGAAAAAGAAAGACTTCTATTACCCACTTGGAAGCATCAAAATCACGCATCATGACTCTTGCCGTCCCCGACCATGAAAGAAGCTCATCGGGAAAAAAGTTGTAATCGAAGTCAAAAGTCGATGAGCGAAACAGTAGTTGTTCCTTCTCATCAATTGCACGGCCAAGGGTACCTGGCGGGAAAGGCGGGGCCAGTTGCCCCACTAGGCAGCCCCAGGGGGTGGAACCGCATTCCATCATGGCCCATGGGCCATGGATGGTTAGAAATCACCATCAGATTCCATGCAGCTCTGACAGCTCGGAACAAAAGCTGTCTTTTACTGTGAGGCGAGCTCTCTGTTGGTAATAATAGATACAAAATTGCAAACATCGGCGTCAGAGACAGACCAACACTTACCATTTCAAATAATAAAACCGTTGGCATCGTTGTTACTGTTACTTCCAGGCTGTCACTGCCCCCACTCTACACTCCAGGGTAGCTCACAAGGCACCCAGCCAACCATCCATCGCATCATCCCCCGCAGCGCAGTCCGCAGTCCAGCTCGGTGGCGGGGCTGACCTGTGACCAGGACCTCGCACCGCCAACTCTCTACTCTACCCGTCAACTCAACTGCCGCCTCGCCCGGTGCAACCGCAATACCACCCAAACCACCATCAACAATCCAAAAACCACTCCACCAGCCATCACATAAACCTGTCAAGCTGGGGAAACGCAAAGTATCCGACGGGGATCTGCCTATCTCCCTCAAGAAAACCATGACTGTTCGTCTTCTCCTTGCTAGTTAACCCTAGCTCCGACAGGCTCAAAACTGACTGCTCCTGATGCCATCCAGGACAAGAAGCTCCCCGAGGAGGTCGACCTCGTCACCCGGATGCAGGTCGACGAGTCGGTCGTGGGCACCACCGAAATCGACGAGTCGCTCTACAGCCGACAGCTCTATGTCTTGGGCCACGAGGCCATGAAGCGCATGGGCGCTTCCAACGTCCTCATCGTTGGTCAAAAGGGTCTTGGTGTCGAAATCGCAAAGAACATCGCCCTCGCCGGTGTGAAGAGCGTCTCCCTCTTCGATCCCGCCCCCGTCGCCATCGCAGATTTCTCTTCCAACTTCTTCCTGCATCCCGAAGACGTCGGCAAGCCTCGCGACCAGGTCGTGGCCCCACGTGTCGCCGAGCTCAACGCCTACACACCAGTTCACATTCACCAATCTGATAGTCTTGGCGAGAACCTGTCGCAGTTTGACAAGTACCAGGTCGTGGTTCTAACAAATACGCCCCAGCACCTCAAGGTCCTCGTCGGCGACTACTGCCACGAGAAGGGCATCTACTTTATCGCCGCCGAGACAGCCGGCCTGTTCGCCAACATCTTTTGCGATTTCGGCAACAACTTCACCGTGCTCGACTCCAGTGGCGAGAACCCCGTCAGTGGTATAGTGGCAGGCATCGACGAGGAGGGTCTGGTCTCTGCCCTCGATGAGACGCGGCACGGGCTGGAGGATGGCGACTACGTGACGTTTACCGAGGTGGAGGGTATGGAGGGTCTCAACGGTGCCGAGCCCCGAAAGGTCACGGTCAGGGGCCCATACACCTTTTCCATCGGTGACGTGTCAGGTCTCGGGCAGTACAAGCGCGGAGGTCTCTATCAGCAGGTCAAGATGCCCAAGTTCATCAGCTTCAAGAGCATTTCTGCTGCCATGAAAGAGCCTGAATTTGTCATCTCTGATTTTGCCAAGTTTGATCGCCCACAACAGCTTCACATCGGATTCCAAGCCGTGCATGCCTTTGCCCAGACCCATGGTCGTCTTCCCCGGCCCATGAACGATGAGGATGCGCTTGTCGTGATCAGCTCGGCCAAGCAGTTCGCCCAAGCCGAGGGAATCGAGGTGGAGTGGGATGAGAAGCTCCTGAAGGAGCTCAGCTACCAGGCTACTGGTGACCTGAACCCAATGGCCGCCTTCTTCGGCGGCCTCGCGGCTCAAGAAGTGCTCAAGGCTGTGTCTGGAAAGTTCAACCCCGTGCAGCAGTTCATGTACTTTGACTCGCTTGAATCACTCCCAACGAGTGTTGCCCGCACCGAGGAGCTCTGCCAGCCCACCGGAGCTCGCTATGATGGCCAAATTGCCGTCTTTGGCCGCGAGTTCCAAGACAAGGTCGCCAACGTCAGACAGTTCCTCGTCGGTGCCGGTGCTATCGGCTGCGAAATGCTCAAGAACTGGGCCATGATCGGTCTCGGAACCGGTCCTCGCGGCAAGATCACCGTTACCGACATGGATTCCATCGAGAAGAGCAACCTCAACAGGCAGTTCCTCTTCAGGCCCAAGGATGTCGGCCAGATGAAGAGCGACTGTGCCGCCAGGGCAGTTCAGGCGATGAACCCTGAATTGGTCGGCCACATCGTCACCCTGAAGGACCGTGTCAGCCCCGAGACAGAGCACATCTTTAACGAGGATTTCTGGAACGACTTGGACGGTGTTACCAATGCGCTCGACAACGTTGAGGCGAGAACATATGTCGACAGGAGATGCGTCTTCTTCCACAAGCCTCTGCTGGAGAGCGGTACTCTTGGTACCAAGGGCAACACCCAGGTTGTCCTTCCCAAGATCACCGAGTCATACTCCTCCTCTCAGGATCCCCCCGAGCAGTCCTTCCCCATGTGCACTCTGCGCAGTTTCCCCAACAAGATCGAGCACACCATTGCGTGGGCTCGTGAGTTGTTTGAGAGCTCGTTTGTCAAGCCTGCCGAGACAGCCAACCTCTATCTTACCCAGCCCAACTACCTCGAGACCACTCTGAAGCAGGGCGGCAACGAGAAGGCCACCCTCGAGATGCTCCTCGATTACCTCAAGAATGACCGGGCTCTCACCTTTGAGGACTGCGTTCAGTGGGGTCGCATGCTGTTCGAGAAGCAATACAACAATGCTATTCAGCAGCTGCTCTACAACTTCCCCAAGGACTCTGTCTCGTCTACCGGCACCCCATTCTGGTCTGGGCCGAAGCGCGCGCCTGATCCGTTGAAGTTTGATGTGAACAATCCCACTCACTACAGCTTCATCGTGGCGGCGACCAACCTGCATGCCTTCAATTACAATATCAATGTCAAGGACAAGACAAGGCAGGATTACATCCAGGCCTTGGAGTCGATGATTGTTCCCGACTTTTCTCCTGATTCCAACGTCAAGATTCAGGCCGACGAGAAGGAGCCTGTAAGTCTTGCCTGAAGAGGAACCCTAGAATGATCTCGCTGACTTGTTTTAGGATCCGAACGCCGGCGCTGCCTTTGATGATGAAGCTGAGCTGAGCAACCTGATCAAGCAGCTTCCCGATCCCAAGTCCCTTGCCGGCTTCAAGCTCACTCCTGTCGAGTTTGAGAAGGATGATGATACTAACCACCACATTGACTTCATCACGGCCGCCAGCAACCTGCGTGCCGACAACTACAAGATCGAGCAGGCCGATAGGCACAAGACCAAGTTCATCGCCGGCAAGATCATTCCCGCCATCGCCACCACCACGGCGTTGGTCACCGGCCTGGTCATCCTTGAGCTGTTCAAGATCATCGACGGCAAGGACGACATCGAGCAGTACAAGAACGGCTTCATCAACTTGGCCCTGCCCTTTTTTGGCTTCAGCGAGCCGATTGCCAGCCCCAAGGTTGAGTACATGGGTCCCGACGGCAAGGTGACGTTTGACAAGATCTGGGACCGCTTCGAGTTCAATGATGTCACGCTGCAAGAGTTGATCGATGACTTCAAGTCCCGTGGCCTGGAGATCTCGATGGTGAGCTCGGGCGTGAGCTTGCTGTACGCGTCCTTCTTCCCGCCTGCGAAGAGAAAGGACAAGTATCCGATGAAGTTGAGCGAGCTGGTCGAGACGGTGAGCAAGAAGAAGATTCCCGAGCATCAGAAGGAGCTGATATTTGATGTGGTGACGGAGGATGCGGACGGGGAGGATGTGGAGGTGCCGTACATCAAGGTGAAGATTAGGTAGATTTTCAAGGGCCGGCAGGTTAGCTAGAAGAAATGACAAAGGTTGGGAATGAAGGGGAGGGAACATTGTTCGGTTAGACTTCTATTACTACCTTGGCTGAGGGAATGGATTAGATCCCACGCCTTGATTTTGGTGACATGCAAGATTGGTGACACGTTTAGCTACCTTTGACTGTGATTTGGAAGTGCTCTCTGTGAATCAAAAGTAGTTCGTCAAGTGTGGGTTGTATGTCCGTCTTCTCAAAACGGGTTGTACCCTCACCTCACCCATAAATGTCAAGCCCCTGCACTGCCATGGTCACCTATCCCAACCCTTCCCCTATTCATCCTATCCCTACCTAGGTACTCAGGTAAGGTATCCAACTTGCACCGTTTACTGTGCCGCCCAGCCGTCAAAAACCTCAAAACACATCCACGCTCCGTAGACGAAAATGTAAGCCCCGTGTTTCGCCGTCCTGAGTTGCCCATGCAGTAAAACGTTGCACAGAAAGTACCTACCTCCCTAGCCCACACACACACACACACATACACACGCACACACACACACACACACACACACACACACCAAACCCCTCAACTACCGACTTGGGTCCCTTCCGACTGGTCCGAATGTGTGTCTAACAAGAATCTTACTCAGACATCACCACACCAAGTCCTGACACAAAAGTCCACAAAAGAATACCGAGCTTTGGGTGTGGTTGCTGTCGTGTAAAGGGGGTTTCGAGACATACAGACTGACGAAATCTCGGCGGAGAGACAAAGCACAGTTCTTTGCAAGTGAACAAGTTGAAAACCCGTTTCGAGTTGCCCTCTATTCTGACCGTTTTGTACGGCTCCAGGAAAAAGACGGTAATAATGCTCAGAATATATCACCCCGGTCTCCAAACCCTAAACCACCAAGCCGTCTAATCCATACCTAATCTAACCACCAGACCCCAACCCGCATCACCAAACCGATACCTGATAGAAAACTACACCAACAACCCCCAAATCCGTCCTCTCAAACCCTCCCTCTTCTGCCCCTTCTCCTCCCTCCTGGGCTTCTTCCTCAACTTCCCCCTCTCCCTCTCAAGCTTCTCATCCACCCGCCTCATCTCCCTTTTCATCTTCCCCTCCCTCCCCTTGTCGCCATCCCCATGATGATTCAACCCCCTCTTGACCCTCCTAACCCCCTTCCTCCCTGCCTTGAGCCCCCTCACAAACCACCTCTTCACATCCGTCCCAACATTTGTCTTTGAGATTTCTTCCTTGAACCGTTCCAAACCCTTCCCACAACCACCACCCCCAGCCCTCGAGCCGCCCGACTTGTAATGATGATGATGATGACGACGACGATGATGATGATGATGATGATGATGATGCTGATGATTACCATTTCCCCTCCGAAAATGCCCACTAATCCTCTCCCTCAACTGCATCCCGAAAGAAACATGCTCTTGCTCCTCTTCTTGCAGCGGCGGTACGAAAGAAGAATGCTCCCCTTCAAACCCCGAAAACGCAGTGCTCACCCTGGGTAAACACCTCGTGGAAGCATCCTCATCCGCTCCCTCCTGTTCCATCCTGTCCTCAACCGCCAGCCCAACAAGAAGAGGTGACTCCGGCGCCGGCAAAGCAAAACCCTCGTCCTCTTCCTTTTCCCCTTCCTCGGGCGGTGCTGGAAAGTTAAACGCCGCCCGACCCCAGACCTGACTCTGGACCCCAGGTGGTGATGATTTCGCGGCGGATATAACCCTTGCAATCTCCCCCTCCTCTCGGCTCAACCTCTTCTCCCCGGGGTACAACCCCTCCTCTACTCCATCGTCATCCTCCCCCTCCGAAGAAGCATCAGCATCAAAATCCGCCTCGCTGAATCCATACCCCGCCAGACTAGACAATATTTTCCTCCCAAGCGTCAACGGCGGGGAGACAGGACTTTGGGCCCGTTCGTCGGAGGGGTAGGTGGATGATGCTGATCGGATTTGGGCGTGGCTGATATCATGTCGGGCGAGGTCATCCCTTGGGGATGCACAAGAGAGATCTAACCCCCCTTGGTTGGCGTACACCACCAGCTCTGGAGATGCAGGCGGGGATTCAAAAGAGAAGGTTCTGTGGCGGTAGGGAGATCTCACTCGCTCTGTCGGGGGGGGACTGGGGCTGGGTTTACGGGGGAGGGAGTAGGTTGAGTAATATGACGGGAGGTTGGAGGGGGTGTTTTCCTTGTTGTCGGGGCGGTTCTCCTGGGAGGACCCGGCATTGCGAAAGGTTTGCTGCGAGGGAGGAGGAAACCGATTCGGGTCCTTTTCCTAGAGGCCGGCGAATGTGTTTGGGACGTTGAGACGGCGGCGGTTGCGGTGGTGGCGGATGAAGGGGAGGGGGGTTGTTGAGCGCCTGTTACTGTAGTAAGAGTCGCTGGAGGGGGTCTGGAGGTCGAGGGGTGGTTCGGAAGCGGTGGTGTTGTCGTCGCGGCGGTAGCTGCGGGTTGGGAGGGTGTATGCTTGCATGATAGTGGTTTGATGATATCTTGTAAGACTGACTGCCGTGGGATGCTGACAGATGGTTGTTATTCGACGTCCTGGGGGTTTTCTGGTTGGAGGTTGGGATTGGCTTTGAAGATTGGCGGGTTGGCTCTTTCTGCGATGTAGCTTCCGTACTCTTTCCTCTGCTCTCTCACCTTCGGTCCTTCTTCGATGGCAGGGTGAGGCATGACGAAGGCGCAACGGCCGATGTCGTGAACCCCGGTCGTCTTTTGCACGTGTAGGGTGTAGGTTGTTGTTTCTAGAGCAGGCAGCATGCAAACACACGCTGCTCTTGAGACTACTGAGTGATTGTATTGGTGATGATGATTTGGAATGGTGATGCTTCCCAAGGCAAGCCCGGGGACCCCGACCTGAGACCTCTCTGTATGTCTCGATGCCTGGGGCCTATTCTTGGAGGCTGCTGCTTTTCGTGTTGCCTAATCTAACCATCGCTGTTACACAAACATTCCAAAACACCATCAGACAGACATCTTCAGTCTTTAGCCATGCCAAAAACAGGATGCAACGGCGAGTCTTTGGACACACCCCTCCGGTGCTTGGCCGAGGTCTGTGGCTCGACGCGTGGGCGGGTTTTAGCGAGCCGAGCTGCTAACTCTTCGGGGTATAGCGGACGACGGGGAACGCTGGAGTCGCAACGCTTCCGGTGATGCACTAATAATTAACCACCTTCCGAAACTCCATGCTCCGCCGCGCCGGCAGTGGATAGTTTACGGAAGGGATCAGCCCAAATCAGTCGATGGGAAACTGATCTGATCGAGAGGGACACCCAGCTCTTCAGAAGAGTGTCAGATATCCATGATGGGGCCACGGGGCGAGCACACCACCACCATCACCACTACAGCACAGCACTCCTCTCGGGCAGAAAAACTGCAAGCATATGCAACCATCTCAACTCCCCAGGCACCAGGCACCGACATTCCGTACCGCTATTCTTAGCGAGAACTCCTCTGCTCCGTCGACCACCTCCGCCGGACTGCTTCTTCTCAAACTTCATCTTAGTCAGAGCCCTTGCTGCCATGCCCCAAACTGACAGAGGGCTCAAAGGTAGTTTGCTCGATTGCCTTGACAACCTGCTGTCTAGTAAGAGTTCGATGGATGCTTCCATTCCATGCATACAATAGCAGTTGTCTTGACGCACGTCGCCGGCGATGCCCGGGGGGGGGGGGGGGGGGCTGCCATGTGGCTACTGGGCCGCCCGCCGACATGTGTGAACCCATCATTTTTGGCTTCAGTGACATCGATTCCGACCTTGCGTCTCGAGTCGATCCGGGGCTCGGTCGACCATCTGGGACAAGCGAGAGATGGCAAAAAACAAGATGGAGAGGATAAAAGAGGATTCGAGCTGAGTGGGTGAGATGGGGAGAGAAGGCGGCGTGGTGGAAGAAAACGGGGGGGCCAAGGTGGCCCAGGCAGTTCTTTTTTTCCTCTCCTACTTCAACTACCCTTCAAAAAATGATGCAAGATCTGAGGAGGGTAAGGTATGGAGACATGGGGACATGGGGGTTTTTGTTTTTTCGCTACATCTCCTCCTCCTTCGCTTCTCGGCGTGCCGTTGCGTGGGTGTGCTTGTTCTGAATCTGTGAGGGCGCATCTATGCCCGGTTATTGATTAGTGTCAAGCAGTCGGTGTCCACTTGCCTACCTACCCTTCACCTTGGCTTACATTACATTGCCCCTGGAACACGACCAAAAAAGATCCAAAAAGGGAGGGGAAGACCTCTTTTTTTTCCTGTCTCCGAATGATCTCGGTTTTGGTTCACACACACTCACACACGCTCACACACATACACACACACACACAGTAGCACGGGTATACCCAGGGGGGAGAGAGAACCACGAGCATTATGGCCGAGGGGCTGCAGAGATTGCCGCCGCCGCTTCATATACAGACGACCGGAGGGGGAAATACCAAAAGCAGCAATCCGAGCCCCTCGATATCGGCGACGAATTCTCCAACGGCATCATCAGTGACAACAACAGCTTCGACCACCACAGCCTCGGGTCACATCAAGAAGCGGACGAGAGCGAGCAGACCAAAAGTCAGGACCGGTTGCATCACCTGGTAGGTTTTGAGAAGAACACTTTGTGGTTCAATGGCTGACAAGGATCGACAGCAAGTGAGTAATGACGAGACACAGCAAGAAAAAGATTCTGACCGTGATGGTAACAGGATCCGTCGGGTGAAGTGTGGAGAGGAGAAGCCAGCTTGTCTTCGGTGCACGTCGACGGGGAGGACGTGTGATGGCTACGACAAGGGTTCCAGCTCGGCCTACGCCCGCTACCGGTCCTCGCCTGCCGACCCAACACGCACTGCCGAGCTGGCCAAGGTGGAATTCGTAAAGGCGTGTCAATGGAGCGAGGCGTTGCGGTCGATGCGCCGGATTGCGCCGGCTGACATTGACGGGACCGACACGGAAAAACGCTTCTTTGGCCGGTTTCGTTCCAACTCTTCCACGTGGTTTGACCCGAGCATGCCGCAGCACCTGTCTCATTATACCGTGTTCTGGAACAAGGTGATATCGCCATCGACGAATTGCTGTCAGGATGAGGCGGTCAAGCACGCCGTGGTGGCCCTCGGGGCGGCTCACACGTTGCTTCAGTTTCCAGACCAAAAGGTCCTCGACGGCTTCACCCGCGACGCACTGGAGGTGTTTGTTATTCAGCAGTACAACAAATCCATCGCAAAGCTGCAACGACATGTCGGTTCGACGGGTCCGGATTCGGTCAGGATTACACTCATCTGCTGTCTGGCGTTTATATTTCTCGAAACCGTCAGGTCGAAGCACTCGGTGGCCGTGACTCACCTTGTCAATGGTCTTCGAATATTACAGAGCATGCCGTTTAATGTCTTCGACTGCCTATCCGACACATCAATATTTGTGTGGCCACCACTGGGCACGAGTCATCAGAGAGACGGATTGGAAATGCCCGACATCATTCGGTTATTTGCCCGGCTAGAAGTCACGTCGTGTTTCTTTACGACAGCTATCCACCCGGTCGTTTCGGAGAAGTCGTACGTCTCGAGGGTATACGACGACGGCGCGAGCCTACAGACGGCCGAGGGGCCAACAGTGATATCAGACACGAAGGAGGCCAGAAAACTAATGGCCACCTTCCAACACGACACCATGGCCTTTTTGCACAAGCTCTCCGCCTCGACCATCCGACCCGAAGGTCGCCAATCAGCCTGCCTCCGAGCCAGAGCAAAACGTCTCGGCCCTATCATCTCCGAGTTCTTCGCCCGATTCGGCTCCATCGCGCCCAACACACCAGACCTGTACATTCTTCTTCTTGACCTCCTCTACTTCAAAACAGCCTTGTTTCTGGTGTCGAGGATACCATCTCTCCCGCCAAAACGACCACCCATGTTCCCACCCTCTCTGGCGCTCAACCCCTTCTTAATCAGCTACACCCCTCCCACCCCCCTACCCGCTGCTCCCTCCCCTCGCACCTCGCACCCAAATTTAAGTCTGAGCTCCCTCCAGCAAGGGATAATCGAAGCCGACGACGAGGAAGGGGATGCAGAGCAGGAAATGGAATGGGAATCTCTCTTACATGACATGCTCTCCTTGGCACGCAGCTTGACAACTAGCCCGATAGGTCAAAAAATGCGCCCCTGGTCCCGGTCTACCACGGTCACCATGACCAGCAAACACCAAAGTCCATCAACTCACTCCTCCTCCTCCCAAGTCAAGATATCAGTCCCCGTCCCCGGGGCACCAATACCCGCCCCCGCCCCCGCCCCCGCCCCTGCCCCTGCCCCTGTGATCACCACCATCAAGAAAGAACCCTCACCCCCGGCGGCGGTGTTATCATCAGTAGCACCGACAACAACAGCAGCGCAGGATTCGACCAACAACAGCAACAC